TGACAATTGACTATTTCTTTGATGACCATGAAACATCCCCTAAACCAGGGGCGGATCCAGAAATTTCTACTAGGGTGGGCCAAATAAAAATCAATTGTATATAATATTCGTATTCTATTTTTCCAGTCAATATTGTCACAAAAACAAAAACAAAAAACAAAAAAACAAAAATTACATTTATTATTGTCCTCGGCGGGGCTTCATATTGAGGAATCGTTGCATGACCATCTCCTTATCAACACTGTCAAATATATCTTTCTCAACATATGGAATTAGGCTATCATTCAAGAATTGATCTCCCATCCGATTGCATAAATGAGTCTTCACAATTTTCATAGCAGAAAATGTCCTCTCTGCACTTGCAGTTGCAACTGGTAAGGTTAAAGCCAATGTGATGAGCAAATATACCAATGAGTTAATAAGATGCTTCTTCTTTTCAACCATTTTCTGAGCAAGACTGGTAATATCATTTAGTTCTGAAAAATCACTATTTGAGCTCATATCATCAATGTAATTATCAAGTTGAAATTCAAGTGCCATAAGATCAGTAGAAGAAAATTCAAGTGGATAAAATTGAGCAAAACAAACTAATTTTCCCTTATCAAATGCTTGAAAGCAATCACTTGGATTTAGGGAGGCCATGCAAATAAGTAATTTTGTATTACCTTCATTAAAACGACTGTTAAGCTCTGATAGTTGCAAATCTATTATGGCATAGAACAACTCAACACGATAATGAAATAAATTTGTCATCTCTCGAACATTACGCCGCGATCTCCCTTGTGCAACAAATTTCTCTCGCATATTTGGCATATCTATATTATGAGCAATGCGAAAATGAGAAACTTCATCAAGTAGATTATCCCATCCATTATTTCTTATCAACAATAATCTTCTTTTTGACAAGTGAACCAAAGACATAGCATTTATAATATCTTGATCCTTTCTTTGCAATGCTTGTGAAAGTTCAAATGTGATTCCCAAAATGTTTTTCATCATGTGCAGGTTAAAAGAAAAATCAAAAGAAGTCATATAATCCACCAAATCACTTGCTTCAACTCTATTATCAGAATTTTCAATAAGATCCTCAAGCACTTCAATAACAGATGAAAACAAATTAATCAAGCTCAATAAAGTCCCATAATGTGAACCCCACCGTGTTTCCCCTGGTCGCTTAAGACTAGTATCTTGATTAAGACCTTGTCCTGTTGAAAGCTCACCACTTTCAATAGCTTTTTTCACCTTCAATGCTTGTTTCTCATTAAGAAGATCCCTACGTCTAGGTGACCATCCAACAATATTTATCACACAAGAAACTTTCAAAAAAAGTCTCTCAATATTTGTATCCTTTTTTGCCACAGCTACAAGTGCTAATTGAAGTTGGTGAGCAAAACAATGCACATAGAAGGCATATTCATTATCTTTCAATATAAGTGCTTTTAACCCATTAAACTGACCTCGCATATTACTCGCACCATCATAACCTTGTCCACGTAATCTTGATATGCTCAAATTGTATTTAGAGAACAATGTTTCGATTCCCATCTTTAGTGACAAAGCAGTCGTATCCGTGACATGCATAATGCTCAATAGACACTCAACAACACATCCTTTTTTATTTACATAACGTAAGATAATTGCCATCTGCTCTTTGTTGGATACATCACGAGCTTCATCAACTAGTATAGAAAAAAAAGCATCTCCAAGATCACTAATTAGTTTGTTGACGGTTTCAACTGCAAATGCATTGATTATATCTTTTTGGATACTAGGAGCAATCAATTTATCATGTCCAGGAGCATTCTCCAATGCGACTAATCTATATTCTTCATTTTGCTCAGCTGTATAGTGTAAAAGTTCAAGAAAGTTTCCCCGATTCATTGAATTAACAGACTCATCATGGCCACGAAAAGGCAATCCTTGCCGAAGAAGAAACCGACTAGCAGAAATTGATCCTTTCAACCGAATACGATAATCTTCTCGCTGTTGGTCAGATTTCTTATTAATAATTGTACTTACATGCTGCTTTTGGTTCATCAAAGCTTGACAATTTTTCACAGCTTGATTATGATAGCTGTTAGGACCTCCAATATGATATTTAAAATTTTCAAGTCTCTTCCAATTGCGAAACCCATCAAGAACAAAAGAATCACCACCACTTTGCTCACCTATATCTGGTTTGAAAAGATAACAACATAAACAATATGCAGCATCATTCTCAATACTATATTCCAACCAGTAAGGATATTTGTCAAACCAAGAACATTGGAAACTCCGTTCATGATCACCAGATTTTGATTTGGGAAACTTATGGTTACGAGGTTGACAAGGACCCTTTTGTAGATAACGCATTCTGACTTGGTCTCGAACATTAGGATGATAAAACGTAATTCTTGGTCGAAATCCAGGATCAAAAGGAAGATTTTCCAAGTCAACTTCGAAGCAATTTTTCTTTGAAAAAGGTTGGTTTTCATGATCATTGACACCAGAACAAAGTTGAGATGTCTCAGCAATTGACTTTCTTTTAAAATATTTTTCCATATCTAAATACAAAGAAATAAAATTATATAAATACAAAGAAATAAATTAACTCACTAATTGAATTCTATAATAACTATAGAAATTCTAAATTTCCCAACTTAAAGTTTTTTAATCATCAACTTAAAGTCTTAAAGATTTAAACAATACATAAAAATAAAACCCTCCTTGATTCTATCTATATTTCTATTTCTATTATCTATATATTATTTTTCTTCCGAATTTTGGGACCACAAAACAATCATTTACCTATCACAAAATATTAGAATCTAAAAACTTCCCCTTTTTTCCTAAAAGTTTTCTCAATAAAAAATTCAATGCACAATGCTATTATACTAATACACACAAATAACAAAAAAACACTATACACAAAGAAAAAAATACTAACCAGAGAAAAAATTAACTGATAGAATTTTGTTGAAGAGGAATTAGGGAGAGCACCAATCCAGCACAGGAGTTGTGGAAGACGCCAGCGACCACCGCAATGACTTACTGAGGGTTTGCAAATTGCAATTGCAAAGGGAGATTGTAATTTTACACGTTTCATTAAAAGATTGAAGGTGGGCGGTGAGCAAGTTTTTTAGTACTAAAGGGGAGAGTGGGCCAAGACTTTTAGTTCTAAAATTAAGAGTGGGCCACAATTTTTTAATATTTTACAATAAAAATTAAGGGTGGGCCAAAGTCAAAGTAAATAGAATAATGTATTTAATTATTTTTTTTTTTTAAATTGAGGGTGGGCCATGAATTCACTTTGGATCCGCCCCTACCCTAAACCAAGGATAAAAGCATAGCCTGAAGTTCTTTTTCTATCATCTTGATCCCCAACATAATCACTGTCAGTAAAGCCAATCAAGTTTGACTTTTCTCCCTTCTTGTAGAGCAGCCCAAATTCCATTGTACCTTGCAAGTACCAAAGTATTCTCTTGGCAGCTAGCAGATGCATCTCTGTTGGATTCTCCATGTATCTACTGATGAGACTCACTGAATACATTATATTTGGCCTTCTTGTTGTTAAATACATTAGACTTCTTACAATCTGTTTGTAAAGAGTGTCATTAACCTTCTTTTCATTATGAGCTTTATTTGGCTTCAAACCAAACTCAGTTGGTGTACTCACTAAATTGCAATTGTTCATCTAAAACTTGTCTAAAATTTGTCGCACATTTTTTTTTTTGAGAAATAAAAATTCCAGCAGCAGATTGAACCACCTCAATGACAAGAAAATAATGCAGCATTCCAAGATCAGACATATCAAGTTCACTCATCATGGACTTTTTAAACTTTTCAAACATGGCCATATCATTTCCAGTGTAAATTAAATCATCTACATACAAGCATACAAAGAACATCTTTCCTCCATCTTCAATTTTAATATAAAGTGTATTCTCATATGGACATCTTCTAAAACCTTCCTTAAAAAAATAAGCATCTATATGGCTGTACCAAGCTCTCGGAGCTTGTTTAAGCCCCTACAAAGCCTTTTTCAACTTATACACCTTATGCTTATTACCTAGCTTCACATAACTAGGAGGTTGATCAACAAATACCTGTTCTTGTAGGTCTCCATGTAGAAATGCTGATTTCACATCCAACTGGAAGATAGGCCATGAGTTTTGAGCTGCCAATGTAATCACCAATCTAATTGTGTCATGCCTCACAACTGGAGCAAAAACTTCTTTGTAATCAACACCAAATTCTTGCTTATAGCCCTTGGCCACCAAACGCGCCTTGTACTTGTCAACTTCACTGTTCTCCTTCAACTTTGTTTTTATAAACCCACTTCACACCAATGGTCTTTTGCCCTTTTGGAAGCTCTGTCAACTTCCAAGTGTTGTTTCTTTCGATGGCCTCAATTTCAACATTCATAGCCTTCCACCACTTTAATTCTTTAACAGCCTCTTTGAAAGTTACTGGATCACAATATGAAAACAGGGCAAAATGGGTAAGTGGATCCTCAAAATAATCAATTCCTATTACCTCATAGTCTTGCATCCATACTGGCCTTCTTCTAACATGTTGAGAATGTAAACGTTCTATAGCATCAACCTGCTCATCATATGTTACTGCTGCTAGTGAAGTTTTAGATGTTGTAGAACCTTTATTTCGAGGATCTTCAAGAGTAAAATATGTGCTGGAAGAATTGGCTGTGGTTGGAGAAGTACTCAGATCTGCTGTAGGTGGTACCATAAAATATCAGCTGAAAGGAGATGGATGATCTTCTAGGAAAATTGATTTCTGTTGGGAATGAATGGTGGGCTGATTAGAAGTATCCATAAAAGGGAATGAATCTTCGTGAAAGTCACATCTCTGGAAATCAGAAATTTATTTTCTGTTTGATCATATAGCCGATACCATTTTTGATGCATAGGATATTCCATGAAAACACAGCGAGTGGCTCGAGGACCAAACTTGTCACTAGCCGTAGGATTAGTAGCATAGCACAAGCAACCAAATACTCTGAGATGGCTAATATCGAGAAGTTTCCCAAAAATAAGTTCATAGGGAGTCTTACTATTAAGAACTCTGGTAGACATCTAATTGATCAGGTAAGTGACTGTAACCACACATTTGCCCCAAAAGGACATTGGTATGTTGACTTGGTGTTTAAGGGCTCTTGCCACTTCTAAGAGGTGTTGATGTTTTCGTGTAACTATACCATTCTGTTGGGGTGTGTAGACACAAGAGCTTTCATGTATGATGCCTAGAGATGTAAAATATGACAAGTAATGGTGATTAAATAAATCACGGGCATTATCTGTTCGGATCCTCTAAATAGAAATATTGAATTGTGTTTTGATCATGGAAACGTAGGCCTGAGTTTTCGAAAGTGTTTGGGTTTCGGAGTGCATGAGATAAACCCATGTCTCTCGGGAGAAGTCGTTAACTATGGTAAGAAAGAATCCGGAGCCATCATGGTTAGCGGTGTGATAAGGCCCCCAAATATCAATGTGAATAATGGAAAAAGGACGAGTAGTGTTTGATGTGCTATATGGGAAAACAGTTCGGGATTGTTTGGCAATGGGACAAACTAGACAACTAGGTTGTGGAATGGAAGCACTATGACCTAATCTTTGATGCAAAATCAAGGAATTTTTATTAAAATTTGTATTACAATCAAAGAATTTAGTTTGAGTAATACAAGACAAAATATTTTGAGACCTATCCACAAAATCAGTGATCCAATAGTAAAGACTGTTATGAACCTTACCCGAACCCATCAGTTTCCCAGTCAAAGGGTTCCAAAATTCACATATGTTAGGAAAAAATTTAAACAGCAATTGTTATCTTGACATATTTTGGAAATAGAGATAAGGTTAAATCTAAAGGCTGGGACAAATAAAACATTACGGAGGACTAAGGTTTTGGTAAGTTGAATAGTTCCTATTTGGTTGCGAGAGCCATGGTGCCATTAGTGAATAGTTCGGCAACAATCTCCTGGGTTAGTGAGTTGCTGATCCATGCTCGGACGAGTGTGTTGCAGCGTTTCCAGCGCTTGAGAAGATGCGGTTCGACTAGTGGAGGAAGGTTTCCATCAATGAACCCTTCCTTATCCTTTGTGATCAACGATAGGTGGAAGTCACAGGCCTAAGTGGCATAGTTTTTGGATCCGGTGAGTGGTTGCTTGACAAGGATCAACTTAGCACCGTCGAATGCCGAGGAGTAGAGAGGGTTACCGAGTTCTAGTCTGTTGGGATTGTTCTAAATGATTTGGAATAACGGGTATGGATTTTGACAAGTTAGGTTGGATGTTTGACCCATGAACCCAAATGGGTTTTGGGGCGAATTGGGTATGGGTTTGTCAGAATTTTGACCCGATCTAGAATTCTGGTTTTGATTTTGGTTTTCAGTTGATTGGTTTAAGGGTGGTGGAGTTATGATTTGCGGGTTGGTATTTGGATCCATAAGGGAAGTTGTCTGGTTAAAATTTGGTAATACTATAGATTTTATAGTTTTTGGTAAAAGAAAATACTAACCCAAGTGCCTTTTGGAGGTTCTGGAATTCTGGCGAAGAAGGATTTGCTGAGAAGAAGGATGCTCAATCCAAGAGGCCTTGATTCACTGACTCTAAAAATGTTGGCTAGAGAAGGCTGTTGAGCGGAAGCAAAAATTAAATAGGATGCTCTGATACCATGTCAAAATATGAGCAATAAGATGCAAAAGAGACAACTGAGTTGCTGAAGAATGCAAGAAGCGGACAAAATGAAAAAAAGACTTTTCTGTATTTTTTTGTACTGTATATTTTGTACTTACAAAGTATTCAATTTATACAAAAAATGTAAGAATGAAAAAGGAATTTGATCAACAGTGTAATTACAGAATAAGCTTAATAAAGTAATTGCTGAAGTTGCTTCTCGATATCTTATAATCTGCTTGATTCCAGGATGCATAATTCCAGCAATTAAATGATTTCCTTCCTATATTGCATCAGATGCACTTTACTTGTGGGTGTTCAATGGCTTCGAGCTTGTGCTTGTTAAACAACCCTTGGTCAGATCAAATAACTACACAACATGGGCCAGAGATTTCCGACAAGCCTTAATCACCAAAGACAAAGAAGGGTTCATCGATGGAACCCTTCAAAAACCAGTTGAGCCACACCTCATCAAACATTGGGATCGGTGTAACACCCTCGTCCGAACATGGATTAGCAATTCCCTAACCTAGAAGATTGCTGTCGGAGTAACCCAAAGAGAAAACGCCCAAGAGATGTGGGCAAATATCAGAGAAATGTATGGTCAATTGGACCTCACAAAGCTTTTTACCTTGCAACAAAATCTTGCCGACATCAAGCACCACAATCTTCCCGTAGCATCATACTTTAATCATCTCTAAGCGATATGGAACGAGCGTGACACAGTTGAAGAACTGTTTGAAGGGCTATCAACAATTCTTCAACACATCAAATAGGTAAAAGATCAAGACCGGTTGATTCATTTCCTTATGGGTTTGAAAGACAGCTCATTCCCTTTCGCACTCAAACATTGGCGAAATCACTGTTGCCATTTCTCGGTTGCACTTACCAGCTTGCCGTCCAAGAAGAAAGCCAAAGGTTGAACTCGCAAGACACTTACCATGCCATTGAATCCACCACCTTCAACGTGTCTCAACAAAGATGGCAGCAAAATGGGTTATGTGATATGAAGGGTGAGATGGAAAATGGAAAGGGAGTCTTTTGAGTGGCTAGGGTTGTCTAGGGAAGAAAATAAAAATGTTTTATATAGTGCAACAAATGGTCTAGATCGATTCGCCCAATCCAATAGTCAAAAGGCCTCCTCTTATTTTAATGGATCCAATGGCCATAACTACAATGCATCCAATAGCCTGTATCCTTCAAATGGGTCCAATAGTGCTGGATCTTCTAAATCTAACAAATGAGAAAAATATTGTGATTATTGTAAGCGGAAAAATCACAACTGTGACACTTGTTGGAAATTACATGGGTGCTCTCCTAATCAAAGATCTGGGATCGCTACAGCAAATCAAGTTGTTCAAAATACTAATTCAGGAAACGAGATTGTAGCCCCCGTGATCAGTCTTGAACAGTATCAACAATTACTTTAGATGTTCAATCAAATTCCCCAGGCTAGTACGACATCTTATGCAAGTACATCTTTTTGTTTCAATTTTATTAAAGATAATATCTGAATAATTGATTTAGAGGCTAGTGACTACGTTATTTGCAATCCCAAACATTTCTCTCACACATCCACAAAATCATCCACATTTGTTCGTCTGTCCAAAGGTACAATTGCCCTAACTACAGAAATAGGAACCGTTAATCTTACCAAACACTTAGTTCTTCCCAATGTCTTGTTCGTTCCGACTTTCTGGTTTAATTTTATCTTTGTTTCCAAGATTTGCCAAGATAATAGTTGTTTTTTAAAATTCTTTCCTAACATATGTGAGTTTCAAAATTATTTGATTGGGAAACTAATGGGCTTAGGTAAAGTTCACAATGGTCTTTACTACTAGATAGGTGATTCTGATGCAAATTTTCAAAATTCTATGCCTTGTATTGCACAAAATAAAATTTCTCATTGTAATACAAACCTCAATAAAAATTCTCTTATTTTGCATTAATGATGTCATAGTGCATCTGTTCCTCAACCTACTTGTCTTAGTTTTCCCATTACAAAGCAATCCCGGACCATATTTTCAACCCACACAACCTCCATTACACGCCTTTTTTCCTTAGCTCATATGGACATTTGGGGACCTTATATCACACACCTAATCACGACGGATCTCGATTTTTCTTAACTACTGTTGATGACTTCTCTTGTGGGACATGGGCCTTCCTCATGCACTCTAAAACCCAAACCCTCACAAATATTACGAATTTTTTGTCCATGGTCAAAACTCAATTTGACCTTTCAGTTCAACGTATTCGAACTGACAATGCTCGTGATTTTTTTAATTCTCACAGTTCTTCATTATTTCCTCTCTCGGTATTATCCATGAGAGCTCCCGTGTCTATACCCTCAACAAAATGACATAGTTGAATGCAAACATAGACACCTGTTAGAAGTAGCATGTGCCTTGAAACATCAAGTCAACATACCTATTACTTTTTGGGATGAATGTGTGGTCACAACTAATGTTTTTAAACCCACCTGGGCCTGACCCGATCAAGGGGAAGGGTTTGGGTTGATCGGTCCGACTGGTTGAACCGGCCAGTCTGACTGGTGATGTCAGCATGTTCAATAGGTTTGAAATTTAGCAAACACACCCCTGAGAAATTACAAATTAGTATATATAGGTTTGAAATCTAACAAACACACCCCTTTTAACTTCAGATTTCATATCTTAAATAACTTTAAATCACCAAATTTCAACTCAATATTTAAAACCAAAAATTAAAAAGAAAAAGTTTTAATATTTTTTTTTCTCTTAACTCGTGCAATAATAATATTATATACGTTAAAATGGTAATGATAATAAATAAAGTTTTTCTATTTAAAAAATTTATTTTGATCTTCAAACTAAAAAAAATATATATATTATAACATTTAGATTTATTATTTTCAACTTTTGGAATAAATGCATTAGGATAAAAGTTAAGAAAATTTTAAGCATAATTTTCCCATTACCCTTTCACTACTTCTCCTACCTTTGCTTCTACATAACTATGGTTCACCAATGACCATGCTCACCAACTCACTGAGTCAACTCACTTCCCTTATTAAACCTCTATATTTCTTGGAACAACAACACTATAAGCAATGTTAAAGCCCTTTCACAAAAACCCATCTTCATTTCACCTAAAAATATTTTGTTTGCTTCTCTTCTTTGCCTCAAAATCCAGTTTTTATTCAACCAAAGATAAATCCCCACACTTGGTTACTAAAGTCTGCAAAATTTTATTTGATCTTCAATGGCAAAAAACCCAAACTCACTCAATTCCCAAACTGAGACCCTACCACATCTCCAAAATCATTGAGACCCACAAGAATGCAGACTCGGTTTTGCATTTGATTTTCTTCAATTTTGTTTTATATTTCCAAATGGATTGCACATCAAAATTGAAGAAAAGCAAAAGTGATTTGAAGTTATCAAGATTGAAGATGAAGAAAAGCAAAAGTGCAATTTTTCAAAGAAGAAATGAAGAATTGAAGATTTGAAGATGAAGAATGAAGATTTTGGGCGAAAACCGATGGAAGAGTGACAAAATGGGTTAGGGCTCGACGGTATGAAGATTTTGGGGGGAAACCGATGGAAAATTGGGTTTAGGAATATAAAAAGGGGGTTTTATGTTTGACCTGGTTTTTAGGAAAAACCGGTTGGACGACAAGTTGCTACAGTACCCGCGATCCAACCGCGGGTGATTCTGGGTGAAATGAACACCTCGGTTTTAGGCTCTCCTGGCTCTACTCACCAGTTAGGTCTCGGTTAACCAGTCTAATTGGTTGGGTCGTGCCGGGTTTTGAAACCTTGGTCATAGCTACTTACTTGATTAATTGGATGCCGGGTTGAGTCCTTAATGGTAAGACTCCCTATGAGTTTCTCTTTGGCAAGCCACTAAAAATTGATCATCTTTGGGTCTTTGGTTGTTTATGTTATTTTACTAATCTTGGGGGACATGACAAGTTTGGTCCTCAAACCACTCGGTGTGTTTTTATGGGATATCTGATGCATTAGAAATGCTATCGGTTATATGATCCAATTGCAAATAGATTCTTGGTTTCTAGAGACGTGATCTTTATGAAGACAACTTTCCTTTTATGGTCAGTGTACCACATCTGGCACTGATCCTCAATAGTCTTCTCATTTTATGGAAGACACCTCAGATGTCTCCCCACCAGAACGTCGTTTCACCATGCATCCTATCACTAATGTGAGACTATCCACGACAGATGCAGACCTTGCTCCATCTGTTCCGCATCATACAAACATTCCTCTAATAGCCCATCCCCACATTCGAAGAGTCCCCCTTTGGCTCCTGAACTTGCTCAACGTTAGCACGACCACTCAACCTCTCATTAGACAACTGGCTATGTCAGCCCTATTATACAAACTACCTCAGGTACAGTTAATCCCACTTCTAACTATGTCAATTATGACCAACTCTCTCTTACACACAGGGTATGTGTTAGTTAGATTTCTGCAAGTCAAGATCCTTCCTGCTATTCTAATGCTGTTCTACATACACAATGGCATCAGGCCATGGCTGATGAACTAAATGCCCTTGCTCAAAATCATACTTGGGTTCTAGTTCCTCAACCTCCTCACAGGAAGCCTATAGGCTGCAAATGGGTCTGCAAGATAAAACATTATACTGATGGGTCAATTGAACAGTACAAAGCACGCCTTGTTGCAAAAGGCTTCACCCAATATGAAGGCTTTGATTACCAAAAAACCTTTTCCCCGATGGCCAAACATGTTACTATTCAGGCCTTTTTGTTAGTAGCTGCTATACGGAACTAGTCTTTTCATCAAATGGATGTCTATAATATCTTCCTCCATGGAGACCTTCATGGGGAGATTTACATAGATCTTCATCCGAGACTTCACAGACAGAGGAAGAATATGGTATGTCGTCTACGAAAGTCCCTTTATGGTTTAAAATAAGCATCACACCAATAGAATGCAAAATTCATGGAGGCCCTTATGAGCATAGGTTTTGCTTAATCCAAGCATGACTACTATATTTTCTCATGGCCCAAAGGTACGTCCTTCATTGTTCTCATTATATACGTAGATGACATTCTAATCATAGGAAATAATGAGGATGCCATCCGTACCCTAAAGGAGCATCTCAATAGACATTTCCTTATAAAAGATCTAGGGGAGCCAAAATACTTCTTGGGGATTGAGATTGCAAGATCTTCAGCGAGCATATCTCTTAGTCAACGAAAGTATGTCCTAGAGATCGTGTCAAACTCTAGCTTATCCGCATGCAAACCAAGTGCCATTCCTATTTAACAAAACACCAAGCTCACAACCTAACAATATGACCATGAGACGTCATCTTTAGAAGTTGATCCTCTGTTGAAAGATCCCTCTCACTATCAGAGACTTGTGGGAAGACTCATTTATTTCACCATGACACAACCAGATATAAGTTATGTTGTTCACATTCTCATGCATGGGCCAAAACAATCTCATATGGACGCAGCAATTAAGGTGCTAAAATACTTGAAAGGATGTCCTGGCCTAGGACTCCTCCTTCAACGGGATGGAAATTTGGACATCACAGCAAATTGTGATTCAGATTAGGGTATGTGTCCTATGACGAGAAAATCACTCACTGGGTTTTGTATAAAAAATGGAGGGTCTTTTGTCTCCTGGAAGACAAAGAAACAGACAACGATATCAATTTCCTCAGTAGAGACTAAATATAGAGCCATGACAAAAACAACATGTGAGATCGTCTAGATCTTTGGATTACTAAGAGATTTAGAGGTACAAACATGAAAACCTATCACTTTGTACTGTGACAATGAAGCTGCTAATGATGTTGTAGCAAATCCGATATTCCATGAAAAGACTAAACATATAGAGATTAACTGTCATTTTGTTAGAGAAAAAGTTTAGGAAGGGATCATCAAGACCATGCATATTCGAACTGCAGCGGACATCTTTACAAAGCCTTTGTGCAGTCATCAGCATTCATATTTACTATGCAAGCTTGGGGTTTTCGATATTCACAAACCACCAGCTTGAGGGGAAGGGATGTAACATGAAATGCTGAAATCAATCATGCTAGAATCAAGCTGTGAAAATGGGTAATTGCAAATATTGTGCTATTATTGATTTCCTGTGATATTGTGTAATTATAACAATTGATTGTATTTCCTTTGTTAGTTTCCCAGTAATTGTATAAATTCGTGACTGTAAACATTACATTCAATTCAAAATACACATAATTCATAATCTATCTATTTTCTTCTTAGCATTCTTCGGCAATACAATTGCCTCTCTTACCCCTCCTTGCTTAGATTCTGACAGAAATTTCTCTATCCTTATACACTATGACATAGGGGCGGATCCAAAGTGTATTAATGGCCCACCCTCAATTTAAAAAAAAACAATAATTAAATACATTATTCTATTTACTTTGACTTTGGCCCACCCTTAATTTTTATTATAAAATATTAAAAAATTGTGGCCCACTCTCAATTTTAGAACTAAAAGTCTTGGCCCACTCTCCTTTTAGTACTAAAAAACTTGCTCACCGCCCACCTTCAATCTTTTAATGAAACGTGTAAAATTACAATCTCCCTTTGCAGTTGCAATTTGCAAACCCTCAGTAAGTCATTGCAGTGGTCGTTGGCGTCTTCCACAACTCCTGTGCTGGATTGGTGCTCTCCCTAATTCCTCTTCAACAAAATTCTATTAGTTAATTTTCTCTGGTTAGTATTTTTTTCTTTGTGTATAGTGTTTTTGTCATTTGTGTTTATTAGTATAATAGCATTGTGCATTGAATTTTTATGAGAAAACTTTAGGAAAAAAGGGGAAGTTTTAGATAATATTTTGTGATATGAATGATTGTTTTGTGGTCCAAAATTGGAAGAAAAATAATATATAGATAATAGAAATAGAATATAGATGAATCAAGGAGGGTTTTATTTTATGTATTGTTAAATCTTTAAGACTTAAGTTGATGATTAAAAACTTTAAGTTGGAAAATTTAGATTTCTATAGTTATTATAGAATTCAATTAGTGAGTTAATTAATTTCTTTGTATTATAAATTTATATCTTTGTATTTAGATATGGAAAATATTTTAAAGAAAGTCAATTGTTGAGACATCTCAACTTTGTTCTGGTGTCAATGATCATGAAAACCAACATTTTTCAAAGAAAAATTGCTCGAAGTTGACTTGGAAAATCTTCCTTTTGATCCTGGATTTCGACCAAGAATTACGTTTTATCCTAATGTTCGAGACCAAGTCAGAATGCGATCTACAAAAGGGTCCTTATCAACCTCGCAACCATAAGTTTCCCAAATCAAAATCTGGTGATCATGAACGGAGTTTCCAACGTTCTTGGTTTGACAAATACTTACTGGTTGGAATATAGTAGTGAGAATGATGCTGCATATGTTTATGTTGTTATCTTTTCAAACCAGATAAGGTGAGCAAAGTGGTGGTGATTCTTTGTTCTTGATGGGTTTCGCAATTGGAAGAGACTTGAAAAATTTAAATATCATATTGGTGGTCCTAACAGCTTCATAATCAAGCTGTGAAAAATTGTCAAGCTTTGATGAACCAAAAGCAGCATGTAAGTACAATTATTAATAAGAAATCGACCAACAGCGAGAAGATTATCGTATTCGGTTGAAAGGATCAATTTCTGCTAGTCAGTTCTTTCTCGGCAAGGATTGCCTTTTCGTGGCCATGATGAGTCTGTTAATTCAATGATAGGGGAAACTTTCTTGAACTTTTACACTATACAGCTAAGCAAAATGAAGAATATAGATTAGTCACATTGGAGAATGCTCTGGACATGATAAATTGATTGCTCTAGTATCCAAAAAGATATAATCAATGCATTGCAGTTGAAACCATCAACAACTAATTAGTGATCTTGGAGATGCTTTTTTTTCTATATAGTTGATGAAGCTTGTGATGTATCCAACAAAGAGCAGATGGCAATTATCTTACGTTATGTAAATAAAGAGGATGTGTTGTTGAGTGTCATTGAGCATTATGCATGTCACGGATACGAAGCTTTGTCACTAAAGATGGGAATGAAACATTGTTCTCTAAATACAATTTGAGCACATCAAGATTACGTGGACAAGGTTATAATGGGTGAGTAATATGCGAGGTCAGTTTAATGGGTTAAAAGCACTTATATTGAAAGATAAAGATATGCTTCTATGTTCATTGTTTGCTCACCAACTTCAACTGGCACTTGTCGTATGGCAAAAAAGTATACAAATATTGAGAGCTTTTTTTGAAAGTTTCTTGTGTGATAAATATTGTTGGATGGTCACCTAGACGTATGGATCTTCTAATGAGAAACAAGCATTGAGTGAAAAAAGCTATTGAAAGTGGTGAGCTTTCAACAGGACAAGGTCTTAATCAGGATACTAGTCTTAAGCGACCAGGGAAACACGGTGGGGTTCACATTAGGGACCTTATTGAGCTTGATTAATTTGTTTTCATGTTATGAAGTGCTTGAGATCTTATTGAAATTCTAATAATAGAGTTGAAGCAAGTGATTTGGTGGATTATATGACTTCTTTTGATTTTGCTTTAACCTGCACTGATGAAAAACATTTAGGAATACATTTGAACTTTCACAAGTATTGCAAAGAAAGGATCAAGATATTATAAATGCTATGTCTTTGGTTCACTGTGCAAAAAGAAGATTATTGTTGTAAGAAATAACGGATGAGATAATCTACTTGAGAAGTTTCATTTTTGCATTGCTCATAATATAGATATGCCAAATATGCAAGGAGAATTTGTTGCACGAGGGAGATCGCGACGTATGTTCAAGAGATGACAAATTTATTTCATTATCGTGTTGAGTTGTTCTATGCCATAATAGATTGCAACTATAGAGCTTAACAGTCGTTTTAATGAAGGTAATACAAAATTACTTATTTGCATGGCCTCTCTAAATCCAAGTGATGCTTTCAAGCATTTGATAAGGGAAAATTAGTTTGTTTTGCTCAATTTTATCCATTTGAATCTCTACTGATCTTATGGCACTTGAACTTCAATTGATAATTACATTGATGATATGCGCTCAAATAGATTTTTCAGAACTAAATGATATACCAGTCTGCTCAGAAAATGGTTGAAAAGAAGCATTATTTACTCATTGGTATATTTGCTCATCACATTGGCTTTAACCTTACCAGTGCACCGCAAGTGTGAGAGGGCATTTTTGCTATGAAAATGTGAAGACTCATTTACGCAATCGGATGGGAGATCAATTCTTGAATGGATAGCCTAATTCCATATTGAGAAAGATATATTTGACAGTGTTGATAAGGAGATGGTCATGCAACGATTCCTCAATATGAAGCCCCGCCGAGGACAATAGTAAATGTAATTTTTGTTTTTGTGACAATATTGACTGGAAAAATAGAATACGAATATTATATACAATTGATTTTTATTTGGCCCACCTTAGTAGAAATTTCTGGATCCGCCCCTGCTATGACATGATCATATAAAAGTATTTGATACAATATGACATTCTTTATATTTTTGATCGAACTTTGCCGACTCATTACTGTTAAGCGTCGCTGATAATTGTTATATTAGTACTATTATATAGATCATCTCTCGATAATTTTGATAATCACAACAATTATGAATTAGATTTTAGTTTTCGTGTTAAGAGTATGGTTGCATACTGCGTCCACATTATCATTACTTTGATTGGTCCAAATATGTACATCTCAAGTAACGCACTTCAGTGAGAGTAGTAGAGAATCATTATCTCATTATAATGACAATTAAG